ATATGCTGACTCTGTAAACCGCTTAGAGAGGGCTGAAAGCCCTATGAAGCGGTATATAAGTCTAACTGCTATTGCTATTGCTAATGGCAGAAAACCCAGCTCAGGGGACAGCGAGACTGGTTTCATGGGGGGTTTCCCTCCCCCCTCCTGGTTTTGGCTCCTGTGTGATGAAGTGCAGGTGTTTGGGTTGGAAAAATGCCTGGCAAGGTTCCTTCTCTGCGTGGAGGCAGAGTCTAACTGCTATTGCTATATTAATAAGTGTAGTTGATGCAGTTTTGATTGGTTTAAGAATCCTGGATTTCGGCAGTTTGCCACTTTGGGGGGCTCATGCTGTAAGTTTCGTGGTGTTGAAGAGATGCCCCATCCAGATAGTCCTAAAATGGGGAAACGCCAAGCCAGACCAACCCCTCCCGAGAAGAGCTCCTAGCTCCCCAGCCGGTGAATGCTGGCTGGGGAATTCTGGGAGTTGAAGTCCAGACATCTTCAAGTGGCCAAGGTTGAGAAACACTGTTAGCGCTTTCTTTAGCTTCCCATGTTAGAGCAGGCATGTGGAGCATTCCCCCCCCCCCGCCCCGCTTTTCATCTTCACCTTGGCCTAACTGATCTCTCATCTGTAACGAGACTAGCCAGAGTTGGGAGCAGATTTATGGAATGACTGTGTGAGTCATTCCCCCTCCTCCCCCTTGTCCACCACACCCCAGTTGCCTCTCTGAAATATGTTTCCGCTCTTGCATGGATAGGAAGGAAAATTCAGTATCCCAACCCCAGGGATGACTTTTCTTCCCCAGGGATTGGCTATAGTAAGGCAGCTTGAAGTGCCTGGTCCCCTTTCCTGCCTCCCTGACTTGACCATTAACTTTTACTATGGGCCAATGCTGAAAAAGGTATCTTCTCTTTCTTGCTCAGAGCGAACTGGACGTACCGTTTAGAGTAAAGGCTGGTCAAATAGGTAAGTTCTTCACACAGTATTTAGTATTAGTATTTAGTATTTAATACATTTATAGGCCGCCCAATCCCAAAGGACTCCGGGCGGCTTACAGAAAATAAATTTAATAAAAAAAGAGAAGAATTAAAAAAAAACAGAGGAAAACAGATTAAAAAAACCCACCCTTGTCAGAATGATGTTGAGGTGGTCCTGGGCATCCTCTGGGCCTGCACTGGAAGAATACCTGGAGATGGAAGCTAGGCAACATTCAGCAGCCACCCGTTTAGCAAAACGGGCTTTGTAGATGAAGCTTCAATCAGGAACGCAGCAATTTTACTATTGTTGGTTTGTTTCCAGGCACAGACCAGTTACAAATCATGGACTAAGGAATAAGGTGCACTTGAATATTGTTCTTACAGGCAGAACAACTTGCAGTTTATTTAATGTGTTGGCAGAACCAGTGAAAGCTAAATGGAGGATATCTTGTTTTTAGATAAGCTTACTCTGAAGATTCCTTGGAAGAATTTGTACGGTGAAGCCGTCGTTGCATCCCTAGAAGGCTTATATCTTCTTGTTGTCCCCGGAGCAAGTAAGTTTCTTGGGGTAAATTGACATTGCTCCCTGGACCTGTATCGGGTTGGTGTCAAACTCCCTGCATAGGATATATGGCCAATAGAGCCTGCGCAAAGCAGAAAGTCCTCAGCTGTTTTGAACATAGAATGTCATAACATTTCCCACTTTGAATATTGAGAAGTCTTTGTCCTTTGAAACCGTCTCAAAATGCTTTGTTTTCCACAGCTGTTTTGTACTCAAAATAGAAAAGTGAGTGAAATTTCACACTCGGAACTAATTTGAAATTAAACATTTTTTTAACCTTGAGTTCCTGGTGTCTTTTGCAAAGTATCCAGGCAAGGTAAAATGTTAGTTGAAGTAAGCCGATGCGTATCTGAGTCTCTCGTCACAGCCCAGGACCTCCTAGGATTAAGTCCTGTGTGTACGTGGAACTTGGCTCCCAGGTGAATCTGCGTAGAATTACCTTGTTTGTCTTTCTTTGTTGGTAATCTTACATAAAACATCCAGCAGGCTATGGTTACCCCTATGTCATTGGTCTTAAGTGTGTGGTTTGGATGAAGAAACTTGTTAAGTAGAAGATCGGGAATATCCAATAACATTCGGATGCTAAGAAATCATACTCAGGTTCTGAGCTTGCCACAAAAATATGATTCTTAATTTCTGCTCTCTGGAGATTCTGATAATTATAATTATGGAACTCATAATCTCAGGAAAGATGGACTGCATAGGTTCATATGAAGAGAGCAGGTTGATAGTCTGGTCGAGATATTACCTTGATGCAGTATTGAATAAAATATGACTTCCTTGTTGTTGTTTTCCTTGCAGGCATTAAATATGATGCAGAAAAAGAAGAGAAATACTTACAAGATAATAAACAGAAGGAGCTGTCAAGAATTGAAGAAGCCTTGCAAAAATCAGCAGAAAAAGGTAGATTATTTTTAAGAGGTGAACGTGACTGATGTGTTCAAAGCTACTTCAGAGTCCTAGTGAAGCAGAGCAGTCCCGGAAAGCCCCCAAAGGCAAAATAACTGTGTTGATATTAATTTTACAGGAGAGAGAAGGACGTGAAAAATCTCATTTTCCATGCTCTAGAAATATCACCATATTGGGAATTTTCTGCTTTCACTTTCGCCCTTTACGTTGTCTTCAGACAGAAGCCCCTTGCCTTGCATAATTAAAAACTGAGCGGGGCAGAGGGAATCTCCCTGTAAAGTGGCGCTTTCAGCGACAAACATGGTTGTGGGACACGGTTTTGTTTCTTGAATTTAGCAGTAGACTTATATACCGCTTCATAGGGCTTTCAGCCCTCTCTAAGCGGTTTACAGAGAGTCAGCATATTGCCCCCAACAATCTGGGTCCTCATTTTACCCACCTCGGAAGGATGGAAGGCTGAGTCAACCCTGAGCCGGTGAGATTTGAACCGCTGAACTGCTGATCTAGCAGTAGCCTGCAGTGCTGCATTTAACCACTGCGCTACCTTGGCTCTTGGCACCGAATTGTTTCGGTGTTCAAAAAACATGCATTGGTTCAGCTTGCTCCAGAGTTGCTTCTCTGCTTTTAAATGTCTTGCTTTTTGATCATGCTGTCATGTGGATGAAGGCGTGTCTTCGGATCTCATGCATGGCCTGGAGACCATTGTGCACACGCCCGGTGGGTACGCATGCTTAAGCTCTCTAGCCAAGCAATTGGAGGAGGGAGGTTGAATGGCAAGTTAGCAGCCTACAGCAGGGGTCTCCAAAGTTGGGCTCTTTAAGACTTGTGGACTTCAACCCCTAGAATTCCCCAGCCAGCCACGGACTGATGACAAAATCTTTCTTTCTGATGGGCATTTGGGAAAAAGCAATGCTAGTAAAATACCTTCTCAATTCAGATTGAAATTGTGTAAGAATATACTAATGTTTCAGTTTGAAGTAGCTTCGAGAATTTCTTAGCTAGGAAATTAATCTTGACAACTGAAAAGGTTACTCTATTTCATTTTATCTACACTTACATGAAAAATGTAGAAATGCCTATCATTGTAGTAGATTCCTAATTGCGGGCGCTTGTGGAAATTTAATTTAGCACTTCTGATGAAAAATAATATTTTCCTCAGTTATCTTCTTAATATTTTCCCCTTTATTTCTGTTGCTTGCTTTTATAAGACTTTCCTAACTTTAATTTATCCTTTTTCTGTAAAATTGCTTACATTATGAAGGACGTAAGTCTAAAAAGACTAAAAAACATTTTAAGAAACCATTTAAAGCTCGTGAGCACTCAAAAGGTAGGTACAATGAGCAGAATTTGCTGAACATTTCTGCTTGCTGCTTCTGTTTTTTTATAAATTGATTTTAACAATTCTGCAGTAATATGTGTGACTTTATCGTTGCCAGTGTTGTTCTCATAAGAAATGAATGTAAAGAGAGAGAAACAAAAGGAAAAGTAACAAAGCTTTTTCATGGTGTACATTGTGTTGAAAAGAGGGCTGCAGATTTGGAAAAAAATGTCCTCCTAGCACTGGGGAGAAAATGGTTTCTTTAATGCACAATTCAGTGGTGTGTCCCCTTTGATATTTTCCATGTTGGCTATTTCTCAAGAAAATATATAAAAGTTTAGCCTGTCTTTGGAGTGTGTTGTATGGTTTAATGAATTAGGTTAAGATCTAAGATCTTCTTTAGACTTTGTTGTGTGGAGGAGAAAAAAAGAGGAAATGCTTAGAAGTGATGAAAAGTAAACAGATGATGATTAATATGATAATTGAAGGAACGAGATGGAAACCAACTTACAAATGATTTTTTAGATAAACCAAAGGAACAGAAGAAAGATACTTTCTTGGAAAAGCTTGCAACTCAAGTCATCAAAAATGTACAAGTCAAGATCACCGGCATCCATATTAAGTATGAAGATGATGTAAGTGGCCTGCAGCCTATGCAAAACTGAATAGTAAGAGTAAAAAAAAGCGGCCTCTTATATGAAGGGCTGGGCTGCTTAGCTAAGGATAGTTTTCATAAACAATGGCCCAAAACGTAAATAAAATATAAAATGCATTGTTTCTTGAAGAGGCTGGCAACTTTCCTGTACAAGATTTACAGAAGGTTGTTTTTGCTTCAAAATATGTGAAAAGAAAGGAATTGCAAAACAACTAAATCCTGCATTTTATCTGCAAGCACCCATTTTGGATCTTACGCAGATTTTTTGACGTGTAACTAAACTGCAAATGCAGTTATGCTGAGGTGTTTAATGAAACATTTTCTCCTGTGCTTGCAGATCACCGATCCGAAGCAACCGATCTCTTTAGGAATGACTCTGGCAGAGCTCAGCTTGCAGGTAAGGGAAAGACTTCCTGGTGGGCTGGCAAGAATGGCGAGTTATTTTTGGCTGTGTTTATTTTCACACTGGAAACCGTTCTTAAAGACAAATGTTACTTAATTACTGTGGAAACCCCCCCCCCCCATTGCAGCTTTATTAACAGTGGGGAATTAGTGGGGACGGTTCAAGAGACGTTTCTAGCTGTGAGACTTTGACTAAACAAATCCTTCCAGTTGTGACGCCTAAAAAAAGTGTGAAGCCGGCAAGATCACATTCATGTCTTTTTTTTATTTATTTCCAGACCACGAATGAAAACTGGACTCCTTGCATTTTAAACGACGCTGCAAAGATCATCTACAAGGTACCGCTTATCCGGGGGTTCAAGCACAGCAATTTCTCCTAGAGGTTACCTGGAAAAGCATATTCAGGGACATGAATTTTAATGGCCAGCATGCTTAGCGATGCATCGCGCTTAAGCCCAAAGTGGCAGGGCTTTTGATCTCTTACCCCGTGAATAGTGGATCCTCTTTCTTCCTCACTTCCCCCAAAGCTCAGATACGGGTTTTTTTGAAAGCTGGCTTGTGCTCCGGTCTTTTAAAAGCTTGTTTTGATGCTCCCTCGGGCAAGCAGAACAACCCCTTAATTGGCTGCCAGCCCTAGAAGTGCTTTTGGCAGCTTGTCTAGATCAAGGCAACGTTCCCCTCAAACAAAATTGTTCTGCCTGGCTTTGTATCCGCCTCGGTAAATGTCTGTCCTTTGATGCTTTTCTGCAAATGCTCCTCCGACTTTGTTGCTGTTTGAGGGGTCCTTGGCGCTCTCTGTTGCAGCCCCTCACCAACGGCATCCTTTCTTTCAGCTTCTGAGCCTTGATTCCCTGAGCATCTACTGGAACGTGGAGAGCGAAATGTATTACCGCTCTTCCCGCGAGCAAATCTTGGTAATTTAAATCTTATTGTACTGTATGTTTGTGATGTCTTTTCACTGGTAAGGTTGGTAGAGCAGTAATATAAGATGAGATTAGCCAGCAGCCAAGGACTTCCACTCCAGGGAGTTTCCTTGGCATGATGTCATCCCCAAAGCCCACCCCTGGCCGGACTTCATGGGCACATTCTCAAGATGAGAAGCGGGAGTCTTCTTCCTGACCGGTGTTTCTCAATCTTGGCCTCTTTCAGATGAGAGGACTTCAGTTCCCAGAATGCCTCAGGTGGCCTTGAACACTGTCCTAGACAGAGGGAGAATTCAGTAAACATTAACTGCAAATTAGGCAATTTATCCGTGGGATGTTGCCCCTCAAATATAACGCCTGCCCCTTTTTTCTGCATTGTTTCCTCTGATGAGTTAGTTAGATTACTTTATTGTCATTGCACTTTGTACAACAAAATTAAATGCGATCTTCAGTGTGCAGTGACAGTTCGGGTTGTGGTTGCTAAGGAATGATGTGCAGTCTTTAAGCACAACATCAGGGGGNGCACACCTCACACTGTGCCGCGGCACACTAGTGTGCCGCGGCACAGTGGTTGAAAAACACTGACTTATAGCAAAATCCATGACTTTAAAATTATAGTATATTGAAAGTGTTTAAAATTCAAAAGTAATTTTTGTAGGTTTTTTGTGACTTGAGACACAACATCTGAAACAGAAAGCAAATACTTCTTAACAAGTCAAGAATTAGGTGACATTGCCAAAGTGTATTTTATGCGAGCACTTCTTGGGAAATGGTATTGGTGAAAGTTAAATATATCTTTCTATAAAGTCCTTTAGCATGCAGGTAAATTATCCTTGCAAAAAAAATCTAATTAAAAAACGAGACCACAGGAAGGCAGAGGTAGACAACAAATTCATGACATTTATTTCTCTAAGTAATGCAAAGAAACAATAACTCTACTATGCAAAAGATATTATGGTAACATCCGAAAATGCAAAGTTCTCAAAGCTCTAGTAATGAAAATCAAGGAGAACAGTAACAGAAATTGGATTGAAGCTAAATAGAAAGAAGTCCAAACTAATGAAACAGATAGAACAAGCAGTCTTAGAACTGACAATGAAAACATCGAAGTCTTGAATAGCTTCTGCCTTTTAGGATAAAAGCAAGTAACAGTCAAGAAATAAACTGCAGGCTAGCATTTGGAAGAGCAGGGAGTTACAGTCTTGAGAAAACATATTAGAATACTATGAAATGACTATACCCACAATTCTCTACAAATACAGAATTCTGTAGGCCATAGTATTCTCTGTGACACTGTATGGAAGCGAAAGTTGGACTTTGAAGAAGCAGGGGAGGGAGAGCATTAAATTTTAGTATAGGGAAAACGTCTGGGAATATAATAAACAATCAAGAAAACAAACACATTTACTCTCTTTTGGATACATTAAAGTATGTGAAGACCTAGGTTTCTAGAGAAGCTCTAATGCTAGGAAAAGAGGAAGGAAGGAAGGAAGGAAGGAAGGAAGGAAGGAAGGAAGGAAGGAGATAACCAGTAGTGAAGTGGATGGATTCAGTTATAGTGGCAACAAATCCATTCTTGAGAGACTTGAAAGACCAAATTAACTTTATTCATTCAGATAATCTCTTCTTCAGAAATGTAACATTTTCATGGGCCAAATATCATAAATATTCAATGTATATACAGAAAAAAATGACTTATGACTTCTTTTACAGCAAATATAAATAAAACTTAACTTCAGCTCTTGCCATACAATACAACATAGTATATATTTTTTTATAATTTATAAATAATACTAGTCATCAAATTCATATGTAATAATTGCATTTTATAAGCTCCTAGTGCAAATTAAGATGTTATATTTCATTTAGAAACTTTAATAGCACTTTCATTTAGGGTAAAAAACGTTTTTTTTTTTTAAAAAAAAACACCTGATAAGAGTACTGAATTAGAGTGAGCTTTCTGTTGACTTTCTGATAGTTATTTATCTTTCTTGAAATAGANAGAAGAGCAACCAAGATGATTAGGGGACTGGAGGCTAAAACATATGAGGAACGGTTGCAGGAACTGGGTATGTCTAGTTTAATGAAAAGAAGGACTAGGGGAGACGTGATAGCAGTCCTCCAATATCTGTCTGAAATGGTATAGGGTTTTCTGCCTAGGCAGGGGGTTGGACTAGAAGACCTCCAAGGTCCCTTCCAACTCTGTTATTCTGTATTCTGTCACTGAGGCCAGGTTTTGCTAAGCAAAACAGTTGTTCAGCAAGTTGCACCTGATATTTTTGATGTTGTTAAGTGAACCACTTCAACTGTTGTGTGAACCACATGGTCGTTAAGTGAATCTGGCTTTGTGTGTTGGAATCTGGCCGGGAAGGTCATAAATGAGGACGCTGCAACCCCCCGTAATTACTTGCCCAAATTTGGATCACATGATGCTGTGAAGGACCAGTTGGTGGTAGGTTATTTTTTTCAGTTGTCACTTTGAACGCTTGCTCAATGAACGGCCGTAAGTCAAGGACTGCCTATAGATGCATCTTGGGTACCTCGATGTCTCAATATATGTCTCATTTCAGTGTTGGACTCAAGAAAAGGAAGCCATGCCATCCTGGGGTTGTTTTTTTATTCCTTCCCCAATGGCAGTGATCAAAATTGAAGGAGTACAGATGAAGAAAAGACACGCCGATGTCTCCTGTGGTCCAATTTATGTGCGAGGGATTCTGTAAATAATTCACTTGTCTTGAGGGAAGAGAGGCTTTGCAAAGCGCCGACGTTGAAACCTTCCCTTTTGTTTCAAAAATTCATTTTGATGGTGTGACTGAATGGGCATTTAATGCCAGTTCCCATAGCTACTTGGGCCCAGAGCAAGACAGAGAGGAGAATAAAGCCATTGGCGGTTTCCATAAAGCCGGCATCAAAAGATAAATATCACCGCGAAAGATCAAAATCGGGGATAAGCGTGTTGCCATACCTGACTCCGTAAATAGAGACGGTGTAGAAAGGTATTCTAATGAGAAATAATTCCCCGGGAAAAGAGGAGAGGCAGATCAAATGGGGATGGGGAGGCCATTAAAAAGCCCTCCTCTGTGAAGCTGAGCATTTTAAATATATGAATATATGAAAAGTCCAATGGCCTGTTTGTGTGTGTGATCCATGAAAGAATCTCATGCACAATTCATAGCCATTGTCTTCTCTACTGGGAAGAACCAGGGAGTCTCTACACCCAGAGACACCCANGGAGAAATTTCCTGACAGTTAGAACAATTAATCAGTGGAACAGCTTGACTCCAGAAGTTGTGAATGCCCCAACACTGGAAGTCTTTAAGAAGATAATGGATAGCTATTTGTCTGAAATGGTATAGGGTTTCCTGCCTAGGCAGTGGGTTGGACTAGAAGACCTCCAAGGTCCCTTCCAACTCTGGTATTGTATTCTTGTATACAGTTGTTAAGTAAATTGCTGCAGTGGTTAAGTTAGTAGCACAGTTGTTAAGTGAATCTGGCTTCCCCATTGACTTTGCTTGTCAATGACACATGAGCCTGGAACACAGCAACCATTATAAATATGAGTCAGTTGCCAAACATTTGCACTTTGATTCTGTGATCAGCGGATGCTACTATTGAATTCTGGGTTGACAAATGAGGCACGGACACCTGAGGTAATTAGAACAGCGATTTATTAACAGGAACAAGGGTAAATGCAACTATGTACAATTCAGCAAGATGCCCTGCTTGACGGCTATTTATACAGGCGCTGTCAATCAGGGCAGCCAATAGCAATACAACAGAAAGCCAGCTTCCAGCCCGGCGCGTCTTAGCCAATAGGCGTGAGCCCTTGGTTGCCGGGCTGTCATTCGTAAGTCGAGGATTTGTGGCCAGTTGTAAGTCAAGGACCTAGGACCAGTCGCAAGTCGAGGACACAACAGCTACAATGGTTGGGTGAAAAATGATCATAAGTTATTGTTTTCAGTGCCTTTGTAACTTTGAATGGTCTCTAACTGTTGTAAGTCAAGCACTATCAATGTTAATAATAAAACTTTCCCTGCAACCAATCTCCACAATCTGGGATTTGAAAGAAATTTACTTTTAAAAGTCTGACTTCTTTACCAGTTGACTACTTATCATTTTTTTAATTTCAAAAATTACGTTAATAGATGCCTATAGGGCATCGGGGGTGGGGGGGGGGCGGAATACTATGATCATAAAAGCATTCTTGCCTTTGTCTAAGATTATGTATGTCTTAATTTCACCACTATGTGGCACTAAAGCAATTTTTTTCACACTATAATTTTAAAGAGAATATTGCAACAAGCTATTGACTTCTTTGCAGAATCTGAGTCGCTAATTACTAATTGACTTAATAACCTTAATGAGGTATCAGTGACCCATTTCTATGCAGTAGAACAATGGTCTGACCCTTGTATTTAGTGTTTTATAATATGCAATTTGCTCACAAGCCTAAGGGTTGAACAGTGGAAAAAACTCCTAAAGGCTAAATCAACAACCATTTAATAAAGCAAGGAAGCAAGCAAGCAAGAAAAAGGTGAGGTTCTAAAATGATTTTCCTAGAACATCTGTATTAGAATATTTTCAGAGAACTACAGATGGCGTCTAGCAATATATATTTTTTATTATATCCAATCCAGACTGGCACTTAAATGTCTTTGTTTGCACAAGTCTGTGTGTCAAATTAATTTTTGTACAGAAGATATACCTTTTTACATATTTAATGGTGCAATCTTCTATAAACCCAGCTAAAGTTGTCTTCATTGTTTTCGAATGAATGCTGAAAGCACAGCATAAGATACTTTAAGCCACTGTATTTTAATCAATGCGACTGAAAGATTTCTCATTCAAAACCTACTGGAATCAATTATCATGAGGCTGAGACAAAGTTCCATTTGTTCAATCTGAGATTAAAAAAAAATTCAGTAGACTGATAATTCTGAATCCAATTTCTTTTCCGTGACATATTTAATATCCTTCATTGTGACTTCAGCAAAGAAAGTTTGCACAAGTTCCTACATACTCATAGAACTTTTTATTACTTTCACACGTGGATGAGTAGTATGCACACCAAGAGATATGATCACACTGAAACATTGATATCATCAGGGCTGGGTTTCAACCGGTTCGCGGCAGTCCCTGCGAACCGGTTGGTCGGCAAACCCGGAAGTAAGTAACTTCCGGGAATGGTGACTGGCCCACCCGCCCGCCTGCACTCCTTACCCGGTTTTGACGAGTTCTGCGCTTCCATGCATGCGCAGGACGCATACAGCGCCTGCGCGATCCTCCAGGAGCAGCTGGAGCACCGCACAGACGCTAGTAAGCATGCGTGCTCTGCGCGCTTACACGAGGACGCCGCCAGCCCGCGAAAAACCCACCCCTGGATATCATATACATACCAGCATAATGGTAAAATTTATTAATTCTACCAATGTGACACAAGCAGATTCACATAAATATCTGCATGATTAATCACACGTTTTGTTAGATATTTGTTCTAACTACAGTGGTTTCCAACAAGGTTCTCTGTTCTGGCGGGAACAGAAGTTTAATCCTATTGGTTGAAGGGTCTGACAGCTCCCTATAAAAGGGCTGCTGTCAGACTCAACCTTCGCTGGATTGTTCTCACTTGTTGTACTTAATAAAGAGCTGTTGTTGCCATTAAGCCTGTGTGCCTTTCCATTATCCGATCTAACACTGGCAACAAGGGTGGGATTGAAAGGCAACTAGGCGAACCAAAAAGAGAGTAACAATCCAGCA